GAGTGAAAGTTCCACTCTTCTTGCACCATAGGTCATGCTTGTTTACAGAGATTTCCTAGAGAGTTGAATCCTTCTGACAGTAACAGCTTATTAAGATTTTTAATTAAAGTAGTTTCCAAATTTACATTAAACAATTCTGCATGTACTGAAAATCACCATATTTATATTCTATTATGAGAAAATACATTCTGAACTATTTATAGAGTTTTACTAGAGCATTACAAAGTAGCAGACTGTGGTTTTAAGAAAAAGAAGAAATGATTTCACACAGTGTATGAATATTAGATTTTCAACAATGAGTATATCAGCAGAATTTTTAAAGAGATGTTTATTCTCAGTTTGAGGAAGCAGATTTATTTTATAACACTCAAATTTTCAGAAATAGTCTAAGAAATCTCAGCCTTTAAATATATACTATAAATATATACAGTAATAAATAAAAATGTTAAATGTGTTTTAATTCAGCAGAATAAAATACAGAATATTTTCACACCATTTTATATTAGATTTTAATCTTACATTTTGGTATACTTTTTGTTAGAAATATGTGACTAACACTCCCATACCATTAAGCATTTTATTGAAAAAATATTATTGCATTGAACTACAGTCCAAGTAATTTATTGAATAACCTAAAAAAGCTGCTTTGCATGTACAATAGTGCAATTTACTTAGCCACGGCATAATAAAAATTGCTTTGAACAGAGAATACAAAATGAAATGATAGGTTTATATATATTGCCAGACTATCATTCAGTATAATTATAAGTAAAATAAGCAGAATCAAATAATATGGAGCTGCTTTGCTATAAACAGTTACACAACCAATTTACATTATCAACTATTTTATAACAGTCTCTCACATATTGGAGGAACTGACAAGCTTTCATGTTGACTAAGACACTTCTTGAAATTGATTACTTTAATATGTGAATATTTTGCAAAACAATACACCCACTATTTTTAAAATTATTGTGATCTATAACTTAAGACTAAAAAATGTATTTATTAAGAATACACACACACATACATAATCAGGTGTGTACTTATACTTTTTTTTCATTTTTCCTGATTTTTTTTCTTGTGTTTTTGCCAAGATATTCTTACTTTTGCTATTCAAACAAGATGGTGGGTTGCAAAAGAAGAAAGTGATTATGAGAAAAGAATCAAAAAAGTAAATTTGGAACTCTCCCTCTTACACAAAGCTGTGTAGAATTAAAAAAGAGACCCTTTGGCTTATCTCTCTAATATTGGATTATTCTAAACCTTAGTCATTCAGCCATTACTTCCATTTTAATACTGCTTAATCCCAAAACATATAACAATCATCTTCAAATGTCTACCTAATGGAAGAAGTGAATAGTATTTTTGCTGGAATGAAATGATAACCTTTGAAAATCCTCTAGACCCACACTTATTGGCAGGAAAACTCATATTTTAGCAAGAAACTCTCATCTTATTGAAGTGATTTAAGTCAGAAACACAAAGGGCAGTTATGTGTTTTCCTGACTATTGCATGGAACTGGTCTTGCACTTGCTTTTTAATAATGTTTTTATTTGCCAATGAGAGCACATTTCACTTCCGGATTCCAACTAATTTTTTCAAAGTCAAAATTAAATACTTTAATAAGATTTTCTGGGCCAGATATAAGCACCAGATCAATTTTGTGCTTAAGTATATTAGCTATGTACACTGATGTGTGAGATTTTGATCCTTTACATGGTGTTTTTAGAAAAATGGATCAGATATTTGCACAATTTTTCTTCAGAATGTTGAAAAATCTTACTGAAACACCATGGGGAATGTCTTAGGAAAGAGTGAGAAATATGCCGTGGTTTGAGATGATTGTCAATGTTATTTCAGTCACTAAGAAGACCATGAACTCTGTACACACCCTGGAGAGGACATCTCTGGGTCTCCAGGTATGTTCCCAATGCCAGAAAGGCTGCCATCCTTGAGAACTGTGGACGTAAAGGAGAACTTCATGCACCAAGTATATAGTTAGATCTAGCAATGCTATCCTGAGCTATTTGACTGATCAATCATTCTAATTTTCTTAGGTTAGTTCTTTTGAATAAATTTCTCATCAGTGACCAAAGAAGGATACATTAAGTCCTGGAAAAGACCCAAACAGTCACTTCAAATTTCTTCTCTGTAAATGAAAAAGAAATTTAATCATTCTGTGAAATGTCTACCTAAGAAAAAAACATTAGAAATTAGGAACTTTCTAAATCATTCTTTATATTCTAATCATTTCTTATATTTTATTATATATATAAAACATATCAAGGTGAACTTATAGAGAATATTAACATACAAATTTTACAGCTTCTATTATATTTTTCTTGCTGAATTTGACAGAATGATTAAGAAGATAAACTTTCCCAAATTTTTGGTTCACCATTTGATTGTTTTATCAACACTGAGTTCAGTGAGACTATCTGATGGACATCTAGATCTTAATCTCTGAGAAAAATATATAGATGTGCATGTGTGTAAATATTTTGCAGAACTCCTTTAAAATTTTTGTCTTTAATTGAACATTTTTAGTTTGACAGATACAAAACCTTGGCCTCATGAGCTAAGTGTTAAAGAGTAATCTCATAAAGAGAACTATGCCATAAATATCAATTAATAGGCAGAAAAAGAAATTTAATTCCCCAAACCAATGATCAAATAATTACATAAATAGGAGGAAATAATGCTGAAAATATAATCCACCACAGTATAATTTTTTAAAAATGGATATATCTTAGAGTTAAATACTCACTTAGAATAATCACTGTTTCATTTTTAAAAGACTGTGTTTCTCTTAAGGCAAAATGAAAATAAAATGCAGTTTGAGCCTACCTACACTCACTAATTTGGTGAAAGTTAGTTTTAAAATTCTACCTTTCCTGAATTGACATTACAACTTTTGCAAGTTTTCACCCTGGAGTACAAGTTATCTTTTATTTAAATGATGAAGTCTGCTTTTCAATAGTCCATGACAGAATTAGTCCAGGATGGGATAGTCATTTTCAAGCCATCAGTTCATATATATTTGCTAGTCAAAACTAAGTGCCCAATACAGGAAGGTTCTCTGCTTTAACCTTCTGAAGCATTACACCATCACCAAGAAAATTATGAAAATTACTCAGGTGGTCTCTTTTCCATAATAGTACTTCTATTGTATTTCCAGGATTATTCTATTTTGATTTTATTTCAGCTTTGTAATCTGCTTTGGGAAAATAATTATCCACACTATTTCTTATCTGCTGAGCAATTTTTCATCTATTTTTATAATAAGTATCTCATTTATTTTATTTTGTGATCTAGCCAATGTTCATCAATGCTTTTTAATATGACTTTTATGAAGTTCTACAGAGGCATAGGGTTTCTTGCTATTTGCTATTGTTTATATTCATTTTAAGTAAGAAAGACTTTGACACTACTATTTTCTAATAAAATCCCTCAACTAAAAGTTTTTAATAATATCATGGAGACTATATTTTTCTTTATGTTACATTTCATATTGACTTTGCCTCTTTTCATTCTTTTTTTCTCCAAGTTGTCTCTCCTATATCAAAGAAAGACATCCTTTCTTACTCTTTATCAGGTATCAATAATTTAAACTTCAACTTCATTTATGAAACAGGAATTATAATGTTGGTATTCTCAAGAAGAAATGAGAGAATGTGAATAAAGTACTTAGCCTGACTACAGAAATCTCAACATTCCTTCAGTAAATATAGTTCCCTTTCCCTGAAATCAAGGCTGGAGGACATGTCCTTATTTGCTAGTGCTGGGGGAGTTACATCTTCACATAAATGGAATTAGGTGACTGAACACTTACTTCTCTGTTTCATTTGGTTTTCTCTGAAACCCATACTTACAGGGAATGTCCAGTTATATAAGTGTCTTTACTAAAATCATACAAAATAATATACCTAAGTAGATGGCCACTCACAAATACAGATGCAAAAAAAATAATAATTCTATGAGCTAGAAAACATTTGAATGAGGCTTTGAGATCATTTGCAAGTTTACGTGGTGGTGATTTGACTCACCATCATTCATTACTACCAAGTACAAGTAAATAAAACACATCAAGTACTTCATACGATTTTTCTCAATAAACAGGTATATATTGACTGAGCACAGTAAGGTTTCTGAGTAGAAGAATAAATAAAATTTGATATTTTATTCCCTATAATATTTGAAAGATTGAGCAATATTTTCAAAATGTTATTCTATGTGTAATTAATTTTTTTATTTTGCATTATCAAATACTAATGATAGTTTGTATTTTTCTTAAACAAAAATTAAACAGTATTAATTTCAGACATTACCAATTCTTAGAATTACAAAATTATGGTGACATAGATTTATATGTAATGAAATTAACTGATATTCACAGAAGCTCAACAATTTAATATGGATATAGCTAATTTTTCATGGAAAAATAATTTTCAACCTGAATTAACAAGAAAAGTTTTTTCTATCTCTTGGTTCCTATGAAAATGTAACAGATTACATTGATTAAAAGCTTAGCCAACAGTGAACCAAAGGAATTATTTTTAATAAATGGTTTATTTCACTGACCTTTTACCATTATTTAGCAAATAAAAAACAATGCACATCCATTCATTCACTCAACAAATGTCTGAAACCTAACATATTATGTTCTATTTTTTTTTATAATATTAATGCTTTGCCTGAATGTTATGTTATTTTGTAACATTATGTAAGAACTCACCCCAAACAATACTTTAACACTTTCTGTATACTGTTCCATAAAATCATTTTAAATTTACGCTGCTATTTTTTCCAGATAAAAGAAATTCTTAAAATACTCCTATTTCAATATTGATAATCCAGTTCATACTTATATATTGGTTACATTTTAATTTGGCACCAATATTGTAAATCTAATAACAACCATATACATGACTTTAAATATATCATTTTGTAGGTAGTGACCATTTATTTTATTTATCCAGAAGAGTGTCTTTAACACCTATGAGTTCAAGTGTGCTGATACATTTAAGGCCTCTTTCACTCCATTTAAATGTTGCATCTGACTGGAGCAAGAGTGATGGCAAAGATCTTGACCGTGGGACACCGGTTGGATTAAAGGATTCAAGTGGATGATAGAAGCTGTGGCTGAATTTAAGTGCGGGCCAAACAATGTGGGGATAAATGCTGCAGGAGGCAGGGGCTGAAGTGTTAAGTGAGATGGGTGAAAAGGGGCAGTGGAGACTAAATGCAGGGGATGACCAGCTAAGAAAGTGGGGTGTGCAGGAATAATGGTTGGAGTCAGGGTTGAAAATGAGATGGGAGTAAAATGTGGCTGTGGCAGGGGATGCAGATGAGCTACAGGGAGGTGACTACTATGGGAATTTAGGGAGGCAGAAACAGCAAAATGCTGCAGAAAAGTGTGGTGGATGGTGGTGATGGACGCGTGCTGGTGGACTGGAACCGTCTGAACAGCTGAGGCTGGAGAGAAAGCAGCGGCACCTGCAGCAGGCAAAACTCGAAGATGCTTCGACAGGAGCTGTTTCTGCATATGCTGCTGGGCTTGCAGCTGTAGAAGCTTATATTTATCTATTTCATCAGGAGAAAATGTGATGGGCTGTTGAATTAAAGGGGGAGAGAAAGATTTATGACACAATTCCAATTCATCTTCCACTTTGTCATGCTTCTGCATAGTTCTGTCATAGTAAGTGTTTCTATTCCCCTCTGCATGATTCATATGCGTGCTTACATCCTGCATGTCTAGATTTATTTGGTCCTCTTTGGTCTCTGTTGAATCAGTTATACCAGTATATCTATTAGATGGAAAAGCACCAGGGAAATCATTTGGTACTGTGTCACAGCTTTGAATAAAAGGTTGGACTTCACTAATTAGAGGTTTTGATTGTTCTTTTGTTGTTAGGTTCTTTTTTCTGTTTACTGACTGAGGCTCTGCTACTGCATGAATTATACCTTTAGATAGATGGTTATCACAATAATTGTCTGCTAAAGGAGTAAAATTATTTGTCTGTGAGCTTTTGTCTTTCTCAGTAGTCCTTTGAATTGTATTGGCCTTATCATTTCTTCTTTTACTTATACATTGTCTTTTCTCTGACAAAGGCAATGATGGTCTGTTACAGTCTGGTGCTACAAGTTGAATTGTGCATTGGATTTGTGAATGAGTCTCTGATTCATTTTTACAACTGCTTGAAGAAATCTGAAAATTAGTTGTTTGCTCCTGACATTTCTTGGCTTGTACTCTTTCTAAAAGTCTTTTAGCTGTCAGAGGGGTCCTCTCTCTTTCTATACTATTTGACTGTGTGGTTTCTGAAGGACCACCGGAACAGTTTCTTAGAAGACAATTTATAGTCTCTGAGTTACACTGCCTATGCTTCACCTTTCCCAGATCACAAATATAAGGATTGGTCAAAGATTCTTGACTTTTTTTGCTTTTATTTAAATAAAAAGTTCTCTCTCTTGAGTAAGAACCCCTGCAAATTGGTGCTTTTTCACTGTTTCCAGCACAAGAAACCTGTGAATTAGCATAACAATGGATGATTCTTTTGGATTTGGACCCTAAAAATTGATGAGTTTCACCCAGTTTATGTCTTTCTCTAAAGTGACAACATCTATGTTTTGAGTACTCTTTATTTTTAAATAAGTCCCACAATTTACAGTTCCTATCTCTCTGTGTTTCAGAGTGTAGACAGAAACTATTTGTTGTCTCATCAGACAAACAGGCACAGTTATGTTTTCTTTGTTTCCATTTGTGCCTTAAAACCGATTTGTGTTTTCTTTCACAAATGTAGAGCAAATTACCACTGTCTTGACTATTGGATTTATGACTTGAACAAGTGCTTCTCAAGCTGGACACACTGCCAGCAGTTGTGTTTAAAGGGCTAGAACGTCCACTCAGAGAGGACTTTGGAGAACACCTGCTATAACTTTGGTTTTTATATCTAGAAGCACTGCTATTCTTATTGATATTGTTGCTATTGAAAATTACACTCAAGTCCTTCCCAAAGTCACTGTGAGCCCCTGCTATATAAGGACTAGACTTCCAGGTAAACTGATTTCCATCTTCAAACTCTGAATGGGGATTGCAGGGGATCATTTTATGCTTTTTAGTCCTAGAGATGTGAGTAGGAAAGGATAAGCCCTCCTTAGTATCATTTAGAACTACTTTTCCACAACTTTTCCAGTGGGCCTTGGAAGCTTCCTTAAGTTCATTATCACAAATATTCTTTCTTACACAATCCTTTAGAGACATATCAATGTAAGTAGGCACTTCAGGATTTTTCAATTTCAAATTACTTGCACTAAAATTATGTTCACTCTTACTTGGCTCAGATTCATTGTAGCCCAAATTATATTTTCTCTGGAAATTTTCCCAATCTGGATTAGCTATCATCATCTTTGGTTTCAAAGACTGATTATCTTCTTGGATCAACTTTTGCTGGTCTTTGATTAAACCTGAGACTTGGCTCTTTGTTTCTGTCCTTATTTCCAAGGCCTCCTTACCCAATTCCATTTTTAACTCGTCTGGATTTTGACCATCCTTTGTGTTCCGAGGAAGTTTAAAATCAAAATATAGTGGGTTGCAGCCATAAGAGATACAGGGCTCTGTTTTTGTAAAGAGCAAAAGTTCTGTAGGCCATTGGAGAGTGGTGTGACCATCTTTGCTTTGTACATGGAGAAAAGGCAATGGTTTGGATGTCACATCATGTTGACATCCTTCTCTTAGAAGTCTTTGTACATTTTTATTAACTCTTTCTGTTTCATTTAAAATTTTTTCTCTGTTCTCCATTCTGGAATTAAGATTCAAATATACTCTATTATTTTCTTCACTTGGCCTTGGTGATGAAATTTTATCCAGACATTCACATATCCTGGCATCAAGATGCTTGTAAATGTTTGGGGGGCTGGAGGAAGCATTTGCTTGGCCTGGGTGGTTAATGCTGTCTTTTGAAGCATTCCTTAATGTATTTCTGGTCTCCTCTCTGCTGGGAGGAGTAAAATCTACATCTGAAAGATGACTGTTAGATTTAGAGAAAGAAGCAGGAATGCCAATAGAATCTTCAAGTGTCTCATTAAAAGATTCATTTTTGTCTTGCAAAATTTTAGAACTCATGGAGAAGGTGTTGTTTAAAACACTCTCCAGATGGCTTGAAGAGATGTTTACATCTTTTTCTTAGTAAGGTGTGTATCCTCATTTGCAAACCGGCAGCATTTGCATTTCTCTATAGTTTGTTTTGTTTTATAGGTGGGTGACTTGTTACAATCATGGGTTTCTTCTGTGTTCTCACTAAAAACTGATGCTGAAGATTCTAATTTTAGATGCACTTTTTTTGAAAATGAAAATGATACTCCTGTCCGGTGATTTGCGTTGCTGAGATCTGAGGATGTTTGTGGTATTCGATTTCCAAACAAATATCGTCTGTCTGAGAGTAACTGGTGTCGATTTGGCATGGCAAATCTCTGCTTATCTGAAGTGCTTCTAGGGAGATTCTTTCCCTTAGGGAGAAGAGCACTCTTCATGCATGATACCTTTCTGCCATTCTTAACTGAGAAAATTCCCTGCTGGAGTTGCTTTTCCATGGCTATTCTGGGGGCTTTGTATGCTGGTCCATTTCCAGAAGCACTGTAAATATAATAAATATTTACATGATTAAGACATTAGATTTGGTATTGTATGTGAACATTCCACAATGTTTCTATGAAGAGTTCTGCAGCTATTTATAAACTAGCTCTACGTCCTGTAATATAACCATTTTATCAAGCCTGTACAAGTCAGTATAACTGTTTATAGCAACCTTTTCTAAAATGCATTGAGTGTATAATTTGAAATTTGTATAAAGTAATACTAAGTGAGTATCTTTGCTAGTGCTTTAAAAGAAAATAAAGTATGATGTTTACATCACAATATATGTTCTTCAGAACTAATGATTTTTTGAAATACAGATGTAACATTTCATAAAAAGGTTTCCAATCAGTACATTCACATTAAGAAATTAAATAGAATTAAAATTTACTTACAAAGTATAAAACTATTTCTTTAATTTCTTTAATCTTTAATGTTTTTATTTGTAGCTTCTAGCTATCTATAATTTTTGGTTGTTTGGTTTTTAAAGTTTTGAAGCCAGACAGTTACGTATTTCTTTATGACATTACTATTTTGACTAAATACCTATAAAAGTAATGGGCCACCTCAATATTGTCAATGATTTTGAGGAGAAACTTTTCTTTTGTTTCTTACTCACCAAAATATTTTTCTACCATTTGTACAGGTATATGTTTTATCCTTTAAAAGGTTTAAAAGACTATTCCTTCTACTGAGTTTCTATAGTAATCTAATGAGGAAACTAGAAATGAGCACACAAAAAAGATATGAAATTTGTGGCATGTGTTCTACCACTTAAGCCACGTCTCCAGCCTTTATTGCTCTGGTTGTTTTGGAAAAGGGTCTTGCTCTTTGCCCAGGTTAGCTTGGATCCTCCTATTTTATGCTTCCCACTGTAGCTGTAGGTGGGATGACAGGCTCAAGCCACTGCACTAGGCTATTGGTTGATACAGGGTCTCAGGAACTGTTTGTCTTAGCTGGACTTGAACCTTGATCCTTTGAATCTTAGGTTGCCAAGTAGCTAGGATTACAGGCATAAGGCATGGGGTCCTGGCAGTTGAAACTCTTTAGGTTAAAATCATCTGTCCCTGTAACATTGTGGTTATTAACTCTTCACTACAAAATAAGTTTTAAACTGGGGGGAGGGATGTGGGGTGGGGAAAAAACACATATCAGATCATTTATCTGATTTGTTTTGAAATGACATTCTTTTCCTTTTGCTTTTTCCACATGCTTGGAAACACATTTACTTCTTTCTATTTTTGATATTCATTTATATATTGGTGATTGTAGGGTTTGAACCCTACCTGATCGCTTCCTCCTGAGTAGCTAAGATTATAGGCATGAGCCACTGGCTAATGGCCTGATTTTTATTTATTTTTATCCAGTCATTTGTTTCTTTAATAAATAATATTAGAATTAATGTCTTCACAACATGTAACTTGAATTCCAAAGAAGAGAAATCCTTGGCTTTACTTATAGCTCTTTGACCAATCAGCATCAAACTCTACAGACTCATTCATTCTGTTCACCAAACTTTATATACTTGGCTGAATTTATAGTTAAACATGGCAGATATTTTAATTAGTCTACTCTTTTTTTTAACTTCTGTAACATTTTATTATTATTGTACTGGATAAACATTGTGACATTTACAAAAGTGCTTACAACATATCACAGTTGAATTCACCCCCTCCATCATTCTCTTTTATCACTCCTCCCCCCATTCCTGGAATAGTTACATCAAGTCTCATGTTTTCATTTACATACATGAGTACATGATATTTCCATCTTGTTCACCCTCCTACACCCTTTCCTTATAACCTTCCCCCTCCTACTGGTATCAATCCCCCAGACAGGACCTGTTTTGCTTTCCTGTTCTCTGTTTTTGTAAAAAAAAAGGCATTTTTGTTTGTTTAAGATAGCTATTCAGAGTGTTCCATTGTGACATTTCCATATATATATTATTATAACCTGAATTGATTCATCCTCTCTATTTTTCTCCTTTCTACCTTAGTGCCCTTCTTATGGTGATTTCAACAGGTTTAAAAACTCTATATTGCAGGGGGAGAGATGGCCCAAACAATGTATGCACATATGAATAAATGAATAAATAAACCAAAAAAATTCTATATTTGTTCTTATGTAGGAAGTACATCAACCATATTCACCTTCTTAACTTCTTTTACCCTCATTCTCTCATATGTGACCTCCCCTTAGTAAGCATTATGAAAAACAGGTCTGAATCTTGTAGAAAGCTAAATTAAAAAGAAATTTTTAAAGAGTACTCTGTTCCTTATAGCACCTGTTTCATAATAAAAATGGTCTTCTTTTACACAATAATCTTCCTTTTGAAAATAATCTCTTCATCTTTAGAAAGGAGATATTAGGCATATTTAATATGAGAAGAAACACTCTAAGATACTGTGTGGGTTGCAGAGTATTTTTTCCAGCATAAGTAAAATTAAGAGCACAGAGGTTTACTTAAATGTTATTGGTCTTTTAAAATGTCTGCAGTCTGGGCATAGAAGGATGAGGTTCAGAAGCAGCTTCAGTCCAGTATTTTGCCTGCCAAAGAGACTTTTTTCATATTTGTGGTCCCATTTTGGATTAAGTCGGAACTATAATTCTGAATTAAGTTTCCTTCTCTAGGAAGTCAAATGAATCTGATATTATCAGTAATTATCCTAAAAGTCCAGAGTATGACTATTATCATCTCTTCTGGGTTCCATTATGATTCACATATTTAATATTTCTATGTAATATTTTAAATATACACTTTCTGTAGTAATATCTTTGCTTATATTCCTGGCACTGATTTATGCATTTTATTGCTTTGATATATGTTCATCTAAACAATCTTTTCTATATTGCTGTTTTATTTTACTATTTGTCTCTCTAAAGTGCAAGCTTCCTCCTTAATTGTCTTTTAAATATTTTTAAACCTCTTTCTTCCTATTGTTTTGTATTATGTTTTGCTCTTAGCTTCTGGTTTTTAATTCTTGTTTTCATATTCTAGTCAACTCTCATTATGATTATTATGATTACTCATGTTTTAGCATTTTGTCTTTGTTCTGTGGCATTAGAGTTTGAACTCAGGGCTTTGTGCTTGCTAGGCAAGCACTCTATCACTAGAGCTATGACCCCAGCCCATTTTATCTTCATTGTTAATCTTGGAGTCCTCTTATTTTCATGCTTTAGACATTTTATTTTATTGTTTATAAACTTTAATTTTATTTTTCTTAAAGATTTATTTCTGTTATTTTGGAAAATCCTAATTGATTTTATCCTTGTGGTGTTTTAGTGCCTATTATTTTAATTCAAGTTTATGGTATAACACAATAAAGCTTTATTTTTCCTAGCTTTACTGAAGTATAATTGACAAATAAAATTGCATTCATTCTAAGTATATAACATAATATTTGATATTTGTAGGCATTGTGAAGTTATTTCCACAATCAAATTAATTTGCAAATCTATCATCACTTGCAATTACCTGTGTGTGTGTGTGTGTGTGTGTGTGCGCGCACGTGTGTGTGTGCGCTGAGGACACTTAAGGTACACTATCTAAGCAAATTTCAAGTAAATCATTTAATATTATTAACTATAGCCACCATATTCCATATTAAGTACCAAGAACTTAATATCTGAAAGCTTGTATATTTTGACCAAAATCTCATTTTCCTTATTGCCAGTCTGGGGCAACTACCATACTACTCCCTCTAAAGCTTTAATTTTTATGGCTATCTCATTTGTTTTTTTCATTTTCTTCTTTAGAACCCTCTTTAATTTCTCTGTGTATTTTTGACATAATTATTTCATCCATAATAGCTAGTATAAAGTGACTATAGTTAGTCATTTAATTCTTATTAATGGATTCCTTTCCAATACTTCCCCCAATACTAATGCTAAACAACTTAGCCAATGTGCAATTTAATTTTCTTCTGTACACAAAGGATATTTTCCAAACAGGAAATAAAACATATTAAAACAGCATGATTTCATTAAATTGTATCATTTCATAATGTCCAACTTTATCCAGCTCTTATATAGAAAACTTCATATTCTCAGAATCAACAGTCCTAAAATATTTAAATGTTGGAAAATCTCAATATCAAGGTAATAAATACTAGAAATTCATGTACAGAGAGTGAATATCTGCCCGTGTAATAGGTGATCTTGTTGAAAAATCTATGTTGAGTGGAACTATCCAAGAGATGGCCACAGCTGGCTGTTCTATATGAGTTCATTACTAGTTTTCTGTCATGATTTTTTTCATCAGTCTGATTCAAATATTTTCACTATCACCTCTCTTTCTACAGAAAACTCTTGTTATATGGATCATCCTACTCAGAAGCCCTCGCTATGAGGATACAGGACAAAGAAAGGGTGTCCAGGAGTGGAGTCATGTTAATGATCTTTTTATTTTTCATTTTATTTTTAACTATTATCTGTCAATTTATCTATCACAATTAAATATTTAATAATTCTACTCACTGACTTCCCTCATATCAGGAGACTGTTTAAGCAGATAGAGAAATTGGCTAGAGAGCAGATAGTGAATAGTAGAACGGAAAAAATAATGTTCCTGGTTTTAAGTTCTGCCTCTAGAAACTTTTGTCTCTTTCTAAGCTGCCTGCTCTATAAAGTACACTAATCCAGATGTCATTAGGTTTTGTGTTTATTAAGTAAATAAGGTTTGCAGAGGGACACCTGAAACTTAATAGAGTGGATCTTTTTAATTTCGAGGACCTTAATGGGTAGTTCTGGCAAACTTAGAAATGTAAACAAGAGCATCGGCACCATTATCAACATCAGCCATCAACTCCATCATCCCCAGCACTCTTCACTGCCATTTCCTCAAAGCTCCTCTGATCCTTTGTTATTTTTCCTACAGAAAAATATAGAATCTTTCCCAGAGTAGAAATGTAGAGGTGTGACAACTTTCGGAGTGGCAGAACAAACAAAATTGTGTTTGTTAAGACTACACAGATTAGCTGAGGAACAAGGCAAATCTGGTCTGGCTGCAGAGGACCAATCTTGAGGATGTTTTCTGCAGTGGAACTGCTCCATTTATGATGATCTGACTTATCAACACTCATAATTCATGAAGCAGTAATTTATATCTTCCCTAGAATTGTTTTCCTGTGTGCTACCCTAATAAGCATAGACCTTGTTCTTTTAAGTTTTGTTTGAGGAAGACTATCTGGTATATCATTGACATGTTTCATTAACATATTGTAATTTTCTCATTGTATTGGCTGGTGAAAATGTCAGTACCAAATATGTTTTCTGCTTCTATGATTATATGGGACCTCAAGGCATGCATTCTCATCTTAACTAAACTTCTGAATACATACTGTACTTTCACTGTTTCTTTATACTAAATTTCTCTTTTATTTTTAATATATTTGTTTTGTTTTTAATTTAGTAGCTATGTATTTTTATAAGTTAATTAAATTACACTAAGAGTTTAAAAGATGTGAATATATGCAAGTTAAATACTATTTTCTGTCATAATTGATCCAAAAAAACAAATATGTCCTTATAGTCACTTTTGAAGTCTAATGTTTTTTGTTAACATAATTGAACTACTCACTCCTGTTATTGTATTGTTTTTCCTTTAAACAACAGGGGTTTAAATTCTGCACAGAGTTATAAATTTCACAATTCAGCAGGTTGCTGTTGACATTAATTACATTAATTAGCTACATTAGTGTTACACATTATGATTTGGATGAGCACAAATCACAATCTGCAAATTTAATTACATTCCAGGTAACAACTTTGAAATGTTCAGTAGCTTTGTAAAACTGCTATTTTTCAGTTACAAGAATGTATTAGTTTAACACTTGTTATATTATAATTGTCACTGTAAATGGCACTGTGCAGTAAATTTAACTACATTAATTACCTCTTGTTTGACTGCCAAACAATGATGGTATCATTTATTCTAGATTCAGGTGTATACAGGGGAATGCACAGAAGACTTATTTTCTCCAAAAAGGATGCATTGTTACTTATGGTTTTTAAAATAATTATTGTAAGATTTAAAATAAATTACTGAGGAATCAGGCCAGTTTAAGTTAAATAGAGGATAAATGGTAGTATATTAGAATCATTTTTTAAACCTTTTCATTAGCGAGTACATCAACAATATTTGGAAGGCAAAAATCAAATGGAAAAAGGTAATCAATTTATAATCCTTTAGTTATTCAAAATATTTGCCCCTTGTTGGGCACAATGATACGCACTGTAATTCCACTGCTTGGATGCTGAGGCAGGAGGATCATGAGAGTTCAAGGTCAGCTTGGGCTACATAGGGAGATTCTATCTTAAACAACCAAAACAAATGTTCTCAGATATATTTGTTGATTAATGATAAATTTACATTGTTACAGTGAACAGAATGGATTTATGGTAGAAATGTCCCAAGAAGTTGAAAAACACTCTGAAACATCACAGATCCCTCTAATTCTTACCATTCAGACCGCTGCCTTAACTCAGCTAATTGATGAAGTCGCTTAAGTGCTTTTTCTTGTTTCTTCTCATCTTTCCAAGACTTGGAAGCCACATTTCGAGCAAATTCTCGTTGCTTTAATTCTTTCAGTCTCTGTAAAAAAAGAAGAAAAACAGGAAATCATAAATGAGTGTTATATGCTTTTATTCTGCTTATTAAACCTTGTCCTGAGAACAGAGCAGATTTTCAGGAAGAGTAAAGGCATCTCCATAGATGCTGTTCTCTGCTCCAAGATAAATTTAGTAGATAAATGTAATTGTCAGCTAATCTAGTTCTCAAAGCTGGTCACACTCACAGAAGAAATGTGCTTCAAAGCTCAACCCTGGATCTTGGTGGGGTCACCGTGGCTATACAACTGAATCATCTGTGTATCTGAGAAAATGCAGACAGGATAAATGTGCTGTGTGTGAAGGAGCATGAAGGGAGAGGAGGTTACGGGATGGACTTTCCTCAACCTCCCTGTCCTGGCTCCTTACCTATAAAGAAGATGCCCATTAGCACCAGGTATGATGATTCACACCTGTAATCTCAGTGATGTAGTAGGCTTAGGTAGGAAGATGATGGCCCAAAGCTAATCCTAGGGGAAAAAAACTCTGCAAAACCCTATCCAAAGGTAACTAAAACAAAAAAGTCTGGAGGAATGGCTCAAGTGCTACAGCATCTGCTTAGCAAGCATCAAGCCCTGAATTCAACCACTGTTACCACCAAAATAAATTTTTTAAAGATGGTCATTAAATACACTGGGTGGAATGATCTTCCTTCAGTAAGTTGCTTCTATTATTATGAAATATTTAATTCACAGCTTAAAATATGATTTTTAATTCATTTTTCAGGTGAAAATATGCACCATGATGAAAAAATAAAATGTGTCAAGAATTTAAACTCAAGAGAGAGGATTGGCCTTGTTTTATTTAAATTAAACTACTACTTGTTTCTAATTAATCTTTTCCCTAAAACAATTGACTTTCATGCATACTGGATGCTTTTCACTAACTGTTTGGATTTTGCCTTCAAAATTCACATACCTGATAGTATTGAGTGAATTGAGATACAAACATAATCAAATGAGCACCTTGAACTCTGGTTAATCTCAAATAGGGATTGTATTTGAAGATTAACCTCTATTAATCCATACAAAGTGATTCTAAATGTCCAAGATCGTGTCTATTTCATTTATTTTCATTTCCCAAGTTTAATATAAAGGCATCTCCAAGGTATGTTAAAAACTACAAAGCTATTGAGGACCATGCAACATTCTGTTTTCCACCAGTAAAGCAACAGCCCAAATCTTTCACGATCATTAGTTTTATTCTTGAAAAGGAGATTGCTGTCCAGATAACCACATCTAAATTGTGTCACTGAAGAAGAAGGCAGACTAGCCTGTCAATGGGGACCATCTCAGCACAAGGAACAAGAGTGTCACAGAACTAGAAAAAGCCACAGGGAGCACAGTGGAGTCAACCTGAATTCAATTTTTTTTTTTTTATAAATAACTTCATAGCTTTCTAAAAAAATAGGGAACTTGAAGAAAGAAAATATGTCCTCTGGGTTGGTAGAAAAGAAATAATGATCAATAGTTCTTAACAGCTGATAAACAGTGGAAGGTCTAAACATGACAGAGCCAAAAGCCTTGGGTAGAGAGGCTTACGAAGTCCCTACATCTGTATACCCTCCTATCCCACTTCTTCAGCTGGTTGGTAATCTAGATTTTAGATTGAAGGCTTGTTTTATGAGCAAAAACCTTTGGGAAATTGCCCTATACAATGTAAGAACACACATAAAACAAAGATTTTTTTTTTGTTTTCAGTTACTAATAAGTTTAAAAGATTCAACATCATATTCATTTAATATGTGGTATTGCAACCATATAAAAAGTTGTATAACATGGGGGAGGAAATTGATTCATTTTTCATAGTAATTGATTCTTGATTTCCCCTAACTAGAATCATGTTTGAAACTCTGGAGTGCACCTGACTTTTTAAATAAAAATTCCAAATTTCATGATGTACTTCAATTTCTGAATTAAAGAAATTAATCATGTATTCAGCCTCATTCATCCAACAAATAACGTTAACTACAAGCATAAATACATAAGATGTACTTATAATATTCATAATGCTTAAAAAATTTACTATGTTTTGAAGTTTACAACAAGTATATAAATAAAATGAATGCAATAATAGCATTAAGCCTGGGAATGGATAAATGACATGTACTGTTGAAACATTTTTATGCTATATATGAAGTAGTGTAATAACAACTGAAGGTAAACTGATGTGTTAAAGAAGGTACCATAAACCCCATAGCAACCATTAAAGTGATAAAAACAATATTTCAAGCAATAGGACCAAATAGAAGATGAAAGAAAATCATTAAAATTACTTAATCCAATAGAAGGAAGAAAAAAGTAAAAAGGAAAGTAAGGCAGATGAGACAATTATAAAATAAGTAGCAAGATAATAACTCAGATCTAAACATGTCAATATGTTGTAAATGGTCTAAACACATTTACATTATGTAGAGTGAAGCAAACCAGGCCTGAAAAGATGAGTACTAGATTATCTCATGAACATGCAGAGTTCAGTGGTGGTTACCAGAGGCAGGGAAAGGTTTTACCATAAAGACATGATAAATGTCTCAGTAGATGAGTATCTTTGACCTGATTTAAGGAATACACAATACATACATGTATCAAAACATCACATGGTACCCCACCAGTACGTATAATATTTATGTTTCTACTTGTGTGTTTTTGTGGTCCTGGAGTTTGAACTCAGGACATTGTGCTTTCTAAACAAGTGCTCTACCACTTCAGTAAGACCCCAGCCACATTTATGTTTTTATGTACCGATTTAAGTATAAATTTAAAAAGACAAGATACAGTTAATATGAACTTAAAAAAATCAAGTTAAAAAATAAACAATGAGTAAAAAGTAAAGAATGCAAAAATATATGCCATGCTAACAGTAACTAAAAAAGGCTACAGGACCTATACCACTATAAAACAGATTAGAAACTAAAGTATTATTAGGAATAAGGAAGGTTATTTCTTTCCTGATAATCATGGGACACATTAATCAAGACCTCATAATAATTATAACTGTTTATGTATCTAATAGCAGAACTTTAAAATATGTAATGCAAAAATTGGCAAAACTGTAGAAAAAAGAAAAGTCAATTATACAGGGAGCATTCCATGCCCCTCCACTGAATAGCACCACAACACTAATTGTAAATGTAATATTTTTGGAAAAAGTTTCTCCAAGTGATCATATCTGTTATAAAAAGATCTGCTATAGTGGTTTTGTCTAATGGAAAAAGGATTGTTTGCCACTAGACAGACAGACAGAATTTCTAAGAATCCAGATGTCAAATTTTGACAGTCTCAGGTTTTGGATTTGCTTAGGTTTCTACATTTTCTACCCTGTGCAGATAAGAACTCATTTACTTAAGCAATAACACCTTAACTGTCTAGAATCTGCCACCTTGGTGTAAAGAAAAGCTAAACAACATGCCTTAAAGATTTTAAGGCATGCAATGGAACAACTCATTGAGAACAGCTATGGCATACATATTTCATTAAAATACACTGCAATTTTAAATTCTTCACAAAGAATAGTAAGAAAGCAGAAATATTATTGTGTACAGCAGATGATGAAAAGTGAATATGCCTTATCATTTTATGGTCTGCAAAAAAAAAAAAAAAAGAATAAGTAATGCGAGAACAATACCTTGCATTTTTATCCTTTAATCAGCAAGGTAGAAGGCTGGAAAGCAAAGACAACTAACCAACATGATCCAAGAATTTTTTTATTTTTAAGTACATTTTGCACCTATTAAAAATGATTATACCATCTTTCCATTACTGGCTTATGTGTTAAATACTTTCTTTTGGTTTTATTATGATAAGCATTACATTCATAGAAAAAATGCTGCTTGGTAATTATTATTTCCAAATACTGATGGATTTGATTTCTTAAGATTTGCTATGGACTTTTCATTTGTGTTCATGAGTGATATTGGTCTATATTATTGCTTCTTGCTAAAGCTCTTCTTTCATTCCAGTGCTATATTAGTCAATTCAGGAACAAATATAATGGAGTACCACAGAAAAATAAACATTTCTTTCTTTTTTTTATTCATTTATTCACATGTGCATACATTGTTTGGGCCATTTCTCCACCTAATCCCCACCCCTCCCTCTCTCCCCTACTCCCCCTTCGCTTCCAGGCAGAACCTGTTCTGCCCTTATCTCTACTTTTGTCAAAGAGAAAACATAAGCAATAATAAGAAAAATAAACTATTTTTGCTAGCTGAGATAAGGATAGCTGCAGAGAGATACCTAGCATTGCTTCCATGTACAGATGTGTTACAACCCAAGTTGATTCATCTCTACCTGACCTTTTCAATAGTTCCTGATCCCCTTCCCATATTGACTTCTGTTGCTTTAAGGTTTCTGTATTAGTTCCTCTGGAGTAGGGACATCAAATACTTTCATGTTTTGGGTTTGTTACCTATCTCCATACCTCCTGTATGTGCTCTCCCCTTATCGTGTGACCCAAGTCCAACCACATTGCTATATTTGCCCTAGATCTATGGTCTGCACATGAAGGAGAACATATGATTTTTGACCTTCTGAGCCTGGCTCGCTTTATTTAAGATGATGTTCTCCAGTTCCATCCATTTACTTGCAAATGATAAGATTCCATTCTTCTTCATGGCTGAGTAGTATTCCATTGTGTATAGGTATCACATTTCTTAATCCATTTCATCAGTAGTGGGGCATCTTGCCTGTTTCCATAACTGGGCTATTGTGAATAGCGCTGCAATAAACATGGGTGTGCAGGTGCTTCTGAAGTAAATGTGTTGTATTCCTTTGAGTATATCCCCAAAAGTGGGATTTCAGGATCATATGGTAGATCTATGTTTAGGTTTTTAAGAAGCCTCCAAGTTTTTTTTCCAGTTGCACTAGCTTGCATTCACATCAGCAGTGTACAAGGGTTCCTTTTTCCCCACATCCTCGCCAACACCTATTATTTCCAGAGTGTTTCCTGTTCTTTCCTGTACCAACATCAGAGTTTCATGTCTGATATTAAGGTCCTTGATCCATTTTGAGTTGATACTAATATAGGGTGATAAACATGGATCTAGTTTCAGTTTTTTGTAGATGGATAACCACTTTTCCCAACAACATTTGTTGAAGAGGCTGTCTTTTCTCCATTGTATGTTTTTAGCAACTTTGTCAAAAATAAGATGGGCATAGTTGTGTGGATTCATACCTGGATCTTTTATTTTGTTCTACTGGTCTTCATGTCTGTTTTTATGTCAGTACCATTCTGTTTTTCTTGCTATTGCTTTGTAATATAGTTTGAAGTTGGGTATCGTGATACCTCCAGCCTTGTTCTTTTTGCTGAGTATTGCCTTGGCTAGTCGCAGTCTCTTGGGTTCCAAATGAATTTTAGGGTAGATTTTTTCAGTCTCTGTGATGAAGGTCATTGGGATTTTGATGGGAATTGCATTAAACCTGTAGATTGCTTTTGGTAGTATTGCCATTTTTACTATGTTGACCCTACCAATCCATGAGCACAGGAGATCTTTCCATCTTCTGTAGTCTTCCTCAATCTCTTTCTTCAGGAGTTTATATATCTCCTTGTAGAGCTCATTCACATCCTTTGTTATGTTTAACCCTGGGTATTTGGGGGTCTTTTTGAGGCTATTGTAAATGGAATTGTTTCCATATATTCTTTCTCAGTTTGTTCATTATTCTTGTATAGAAAAGCTAATGGTTTTTGTAGGTTGATTTTGTATCCTGCCACTTTGCTGAAGCTGTTTATGGTGTCTAGGAGTTTTTGGGTGGAGTGTTTTAGGTCTTTAAGGTATAGGATCATATTGTCTGCAAATAGGGGTATTTTGACAATTTCTTTACCTATTCGTATTCCTTATTTCTTCTTCTTGCCTAATTGCTCTGAAGAGGAATTCCAGTGCTACAGTCAAAAGGAGTGGGGATAGTGGGCACCCCCATCTCATTCCTGATTTTAGGGGAAATGGTTTCAGTTTTTCTGCATTAAGTATGATGTTTTTGTAGGTTTGTCATATCTAGCTTTTCTAATGTTGAGGTACTTTCCTTCTATTCCTAGTTTTCTTAGAGGTTTTATCATGAAGTGATGTTGAATCTTGTTGAAGGCTTTTTCTGCATCTATTGAAATGATCAAGTGGTTTTTGTCTTTGCTTCTATTTATGTGGTATATTACATTTATAGATTTGCGTATGTTCTGCTTCCCTGGGATGAAGCCAACTTAGTCATGGTGAATGATCTTTCTGATGTGTGTGTTGGATTTGGTTTGCCATTATTATTATTATTTTTAATTTTATTATTCATATGTGCATACAAGGCTTGGGTCATTTCTCCCCCCTGCCCCCACCCCCTCCCTTACCACCCACTCCGCCCCCTCCCTCTCCCCCCTACCCCTTCAATACCCAGCAGAAACTATTTTGCCCTTATTTCTAATTTTGTTGTAGAGAGAGTATAAGCAATAATAGGAAGGAACAAGGGTTTTTGCTGGTTGAGATAAGGATAGCTATACAGGGCATTGACACACATTGATTTCCTGTGTGTGGGTGTTACCTTCTAGGTTAATTCTTTTTGATCTCACCTTTTCTCTAGTTCCTGGTCCCCTTTTCCTATTGGCCTCAGTTGCTTTTAAGGTATCTGCTTTAGTTTCTCTGCGTTAAGGGCAACAAATGCTAGCTAGTTTTTTAGGTGTCTTACCTATCCTCACCCCTCCCTTGTGTGCTCTCGCTTTTATCATGTGCTCATAGTCCAATCCCCTTGTTGTGTTTGCCCTTGATCTAATGTCCACATATGAGGGAGAACATACGATTTTTGGTCTTTTGGGCCAGGCTAACCTCACTCAGAATGATGTTCTCCAATTCCATCCATTTACCAGCGAATGATAACATTTTGTTCTTCTTCATGGCTGCATAAAATTCCATTGTGTATAGATACCACATTTTCTTAATCCATTTGTCAGTGGTGGGGCATCTTGGCTGTTTCCATAACTTGGCTATTGTGAATAGTGCCGCAATAAACATGGGTGTGCAGGTGCCTCTGGAGTAACCTGTGTCACAGTCTTTTGGGTATATCCCCAAGAGTGGTATTGCTGGATCAAATGATAGATCAATGCCATTATTTTATTAAGGATTTTTGCAACATGTTCATTAAGGAGATTGTTCTATAGCTCTCCTTTTTAGAGGTGGCTTTGTCTGGTTTTGGGATAAGTACAACACTGGCTTCCTAAAATGAG